AACATATATAAATTTGGCTGTTCGGGATTACTTCAAAGTTGAGTTTGTGTTGTTTTCTCGAATTTTCACCGGCGTTCCACAGCAGCGCGCACAAAGCCCATAGCAATGCATGTACAGTGGTGCGCGTCGCAGCAACGTGGAACGTCTTGTGACGTAGCTCCGCCCCCGAGGATACTATTAATTTAGACTTTTACGCATAGCTGGTGCGAATCATACAGCTAGTGGACAACGTACGATTAAAAGGGAATTTCCCTTTTAAACCCCGGTTTTAAACTCCCTGATATTATTCAAATTAGTCACTATCCAGTCTACGTACTTGCAGCTTGAAGCACACGCCTAATTTGAGAGGAGAGAGTTTTAATTCCTGGGCGTTGCAGGTAAAACAAAAACGGACAACGGGTAACTATGCTTACTGTTACGATGTCCCTGCGTTAAACTCGTACCAGGAAGTACTTATAATATCGTGACCACTCGCGCGATCACATCATTGTGTGTGAGTGTTCGTCGTTGTTAATGCCGCTGGTAGTACTTTCTACACATGATTTATTTCCATACGTCTAGTTGTGTTGCCACATAATATAACGGCGTTACTACTTCAAGATCATTTACAGTTACATTGTAACGGCAATTCAAAGATCGGTTTAAACTGGTGAAAGTCTGTTCCTGACCTGGCTCACTCACTAGCAGGAAGTACTATAAGCTTCCGGGTACGATGTACTAATATTTCACAGTAATTTTTGTTTGTCCGACGTTTGAATTGCAAACATTTTCTCTGTGAACGCGTGAAGTCTCTCACATGCAATCATCTCGAATCTGTTAGTACAGTTTATGCCCAGGAGTGTTACCGTCTTCGACTTTCTCTGGAAACCACCAAAATGGCGAAGTGACGTACATGTAAATAAGTAATTCTGGCTCTGCTAAACAAAAAAATGGTGACACAATTGAATTACCTTATGCGTCTGACCGTACTTTCCATTGTCACGATTTACAGTGTTCACTCACAGGTATTGCCCCCTGATTACGGTAAGTTCAAGTCTATTCCGTGGTTATTACTAATGAAAATCCAGCTGATTTTGCTATTATGCAACTAGAAAATAAACTGTCACGGTTCAATCCAATTTTACTGTATTGGGCAGACGTTTTTTTTGTTTGTTTTGTTTTGTTTAGCTCAGCTGTCTACAGAGTCTAGCAGATATAGATATATGTGTACTGCAGTTTACATGCTTTCAGAAATGCTTTTTTCCATAGTTATGGGTATACGTTTATAATAAATTTATTTAATTGATTGATTGAGGAATTTCATTAAAATTTTGGCTATAATTTGGATTGGCTATATTTTTTCTTGAGGTGTTTCACGATGTTAAGGTTTCTTTTTGGTCCGGAGATGTAAATTTGTTTTTCATTTTTATTTTTAGTTATGGGGAGGTGGGTACTTTCAGGCCAAAGGTTGTCTTTTTTGAACTGATGTGAATGCTGACCATAAATTACATGTATAAGTATATCAAATGTAAGAATAAAAATATTGGAATAAACAAAGAAAATGAATTTGTATTGGGTAAAGCTGAATATTAATTTATAACACAAGACCTGAGACGAATGCTTTCAGGTTACAATGCAGGCTGTATATAGTACATTGGTCGTCTACAATAGATGTAATACAATCACATTTTGTCTATAGCCAGCCAGTGTAGTAAATCCAGTGTAGTAAATCCCAGTATTGCTAAACAATTTTGATTGTTTACAATAGATTATTTGATGCCAGGATGTGATATTGTTATATGATAACAATTGCGGAAAATGTTCACTTAATACATGCAATATTAGTAATTTGTTTGCATCTAAAAATACACCATGACCTAATTACATAATTTACACACAACGCACTCATCTTCAGCTTTTAGTCAAATTGCATAACAGCATGACAATAATAAACATGACTTTTTGGTTCTACTGTATGCAAAAGCATAATAATGTACCAATTTGTTTGTATATCAAATCTTGTTTCACAATATCTCATTGGATTCATCAGAATGACACTTGGTAGACTGAGGTACTTTAATTTCGGTATAAATCTGTACATGTTAATTAGGTAATTAGCATATACCGGTAATCAGTTTTACCATTTTTATTGCGTTTCCTGCAATTTGATGCACAAATACATTGAGACTTGGTACATGATTGCTGTGAACCTCAATATGTTACCGGTAATCTGTATCTAATGTGAATACCAGGGTATACTTTGTCATTAATGTGTTTGCAATGAGCTGCCAGTCTTTACTATCATCAAATACGTACATTTGGATATTAAAAACCTCAAACTGGGCAATTATAAATTAACCTGAACATACCCAAGTGGGTGTTCTTGGTAATATTCAATGTCAATATAATCAGAAACACCTGGAGAGGAAACACCATGAATAGTGCCAATGGGATGAAAGTGTTTGATGGCTCACTGCGATAGAATACTTGCATGATAAAATATCACTGAGTTGAGCCAAATAACAGTGTCATGGTTAACATTGCACTGAAACCAATGTTAACCATGATAGTTTATTTGCCTGGACACCTGTTGATTCATTTGAAATCATTCATTTCTGAATAAAATAAAAAAAAATAAAAATATTTCAAAACACCAATTAATAAGATTGTAACTTAATAAAACATAAGTTATTTAAAATGTAGAACAAAATATTGCTCAAGTCTGTATTATATATTATATTAGTTAATTGATAAAGTTTTTCAAATTTGTTTGACTGATGGACTTTTCATCAAAACAAAATTATTGTGTTCTAGTCGATTTCTTTCTCACAGTTTGTTTTGCATTCAGAAGTAGATTGCAGATTAGTTACATTATACTGAATATATTCATCAATTTTGAAAATACCTTAAGGTTTAATTAAAGTATAAAGGTAACAGGTTGGTTTGAGTTTGATGGGGTGGGCTAGGGTTAGGGTTAGCTTTGGGACTACGAAATTACATTACCAGATATTCTTAATAATTGTACAAATTTTCATGCAGTGGTGTGAATAATTAAATAAATGATGTGCCATATTGCAGAATTTGTGTATCCACTTGCTTGTAATTTTGAAGAATCATTCTGCCAGTGGGTACAGGTGTATGATGATAACTTTGATTGGACAAGACACAGTGGATTAACAGACACCTCACTAACTGGTCCATCAGTCGACAACACTTACGCTAATGAAACTGGATACTATGTATATATTGAGACATCATATCCTAGGAATGAAGACGAGATTGCCAGGTTGATTAGTCCTATAATAAGTCAAGATAGTGGTTGTTCAGTAAGTATGTGTGTATATACTTCACTAGTTTTATGAAAAGATAATTCCAGGAACTTCAATTCTTAAAGTCGCATTCCTACTTTGTACCATTGATTAAAATGATCAAATCATAATGAAAAATGATAAAATCTGTTGGTATGACAACAAATTTTTAACTCACTTGTTTGTAATCTCTCAATTTTACTCCATTTTAAAAATTTGTTCAGAATTCAATTTGTATATCATTTCTCATGGTCTGTACAAAATCCAAAGCCCTTGTGTTTACAGTGAGATGTTATACAAAGTGGGAATTCAATTTTAAGTACCCTAGTTTAGTTACTTCAGTGTCATTGATTCAAAATATTAATTTGGGATTATTGTCTCTAACTTCTGGGAAGTTTACTACATAAAGGTACATTTGAAGAAGCTTTAATACTCATGAATGAAAATACTCAAAATTGTAGTGGTCTAATTTTTGAGAAAATCATAGTTGTATTTGAATGGATAGAGCTAACAAATTACACACCCTGATTGGTAAGCTACTTTTATGTTATTCTGAATTATTTCGAATTCCATATACTGTGGAATACTTTATTTTCGCTGGAATTAATTTTCGCTGAAAAGGCATCTTGAGCGTTTTATATAGAATTTATTTTCACTGATTTTTGATGAGTTTAATGTGAAATATATGGAAAAAAAGTATATTCGCTGGATTTTATTTTCACGAAATAATCCTTCAGCGAAAATAGCGAAAATAAATTCCAAGCGAAAATAAAGTATTCTACAGTATATTAAAAAATGAGGAAAAAATGCAGTTTTTTTTTTCAAAATTATGAAATCCAAAAATTATTAGGACAAATTTCTCAAATTATGTTACTATAACATATAAATAAATGCTATTTTTTGCTTTCAGGAAAATAAAAATGGATTTTACATTGAATTATTGAACATTGTTATATTCGATTTATGACCAATTTTCCAATTTCTAGAAAAGTCCCTAATGGGGTAACCAGATAACCCAAGCACTTTTTTCAGACATTTTCAGATAATGTAACTATTTAAATTTTATAATTTTGCAATTTCAATTATAGGTTAAGTTAGGTTTGTCTAGAAAACCCACAACTGGGAAAGGAAGTGAAATTATGTAACTGAAAATTTATTTTTAAAGTTGTAGAGTTTAAGCATAAAACTGTTTACCTTAGAAACAGTTTAATTAAATTATAAATTATAATGCATTTCTATTGTGGATTGCATTTTATTTAAGTTGTTCCAATAATTAGAAATATTACCTCATATTTGCTCATTATGTATTCATAATTATCATAGACGAATAATAATTTTCAAAAATAAAGCTCACAAATCTGATTTTTGATTAGACACCCACAATCTCAGCTGCACAATATATATTGCCTGTAATTGAATTTCAGTTATTTGTTAATTAACATCAAGTAACAATTTGGGTATGGTTTTGCAAAAGTGGATCTGATTTCTAAAATATGGGCGTGGTCTCTTCTGTAACTATATTTATTCATAACTCAATGTTCGTGACTCAATGTCTGTAACTTGAACAATTCAGTCTGTTTTTTTAGTGATCTGAGGTATTCAAGTTACATTGTACATCATTGCTTTAGAAACCCTAAGTTAAGTTTATTTGGCCATTGTTATTGTCACTGTGACACTGTGTTTTAATGTCACTGTGACACTGTGTTTTAATGTCACTGTGACACTGTGTTTTAATGTCACTGTGACACTGTGTTTTAATGTCCCTTTAACAATGTATTAGTTCTTGTTTAAATCAAGCCAAAAATGAGTTTTAACTCTGTGTGTCATTTACAGTAGCTGATACATCATAGTACTCCAATCAAAACTTTTACCTCTACCCTCTCAAAACAAAGCAAGAAATCTGTCATTTCTAATGGTTTCCTTGTTTTTCCTTCTGTGTAGCTGCAGACGGATTAACTATTTTCAATCTTGGTACATGCATTAAACATGGAACCTTGCACAGTATTTCGTTTTTCCGATTAGTTCAAATTTTCAAATATTTGAAATTTATCAAAATCAACCATTTCTGCCATTCTCAACCCTGATGTTGTTTATACATGTAGTTTTATTATTCAAACTTGGTACATGATTTGAACACCATGATTATGATGATGCATGTATTTTTGGTTTTCAGCTCAAATTCAAAATATTTTAATGAATTCTGTTGTAGTGTCTTATATCTGTCATGGTCTGACCTTTCATGTTCAAACTTTATATAATTCTTAAACTATATAACTCAGTTACTTGTTTACTTCCTTGTACCTGACCTGTCATAATCCCATAGTAATGTTTACTTCCTTGTACTAGATCTGTCATAGTCCCATATTAATGTTTACTTTCTTGTACCTGATCTGTCATTATCACATAATAATGTTTACTTCCTTGTACCTGACCTGCCATAATCCCATAATAATTATTACTTCCTTGTACCTGACCTGTCATTATCACATAATAATGTTTATATCCTTGTACCTGACCTGTCATTATCACATAATAATGTTTACTTCCTTGTACCTGACCTGTCATTATCACATAATAATGTTTATATCCTTGTACCTGACCTGTCATAATCACATAATAATGTTTACTTCCTTGTACCCGACCTGTCATTATCACATAATAATGTATACTTCTTTGTACCTGACCTGTCATTATCACATAATAATGTTTACTTTCTTGTACCTGATCTGTCATTATCACATAATAATGTTTACTTCCTTGTACCTGACCTGCCATAATCCCATAATAATTATTACTTCCTTGTACCTGACCTGTCATTATCACATAATAATGTATACTTCTTTGTACCTGACCTGTCATTATCACATAATAATGTTTACTTTCTTGTACCTGACCTGTCATTATCACATAATGTTTACTTCCTTGTACCCGGCCTGTAATAATCACATAATGTTTACTTCCTTGTACCTGACCTGTCATAATCACATAATAATGTTTATATCCTTGTACCTGACCTGTCATTATCACATAATAATGTATACTTCTTTGTACCTGACCTGTCATTATCACATAATAATGTTTACTTCCTTGTACCCAACCTGTCATTATCACATAATAATGTTTACTTCCTTGTACCTGACCTGTCATTATCACATAATAGTGTTTACTTCCTTGTACCTGACCTGTCATTATCACATAATA